TCTTCAAGAATATGCTTTTTATTATTTCTAATATTTTCAATTTGTAAGATTTGTTTTATGGCCCAGAATACCATCTATCTTGGTAAATATTTTATGCACACTTGAGAGGAATGTTTATTCTGCTATAATTGGATGCAATCTTTATTTGTTTGTTTGTTTATAATTTTAATTAGGTAATCTATATCTTTCCTTGTTTCGTGCTTACTTTTTCTCTGAAATACTGAGAAACAATTCAGAGAGTTTTGACAAATACATAGTCCCATGAAACTATAACCACAGTGAAGGTGCAAAATATATTCATCATCCCCAAAAGTTTCTTCTTGTGCTTTTGCAGTAAAACCATTCCTTCAGTAGAAGTGACTTGAGGTGAGCAGAAGTAAGCATCTGCCAACCATGAGCACTTTCCCTATTAACAAAGGCAGGTGGGCACAGAAAGTGGCAGTTGCTTTCACACACAGGCAGCATCGAGGAAGAAAATCAGATCAACAGTGTCATAGAAGGCCAGCTTGCTGACCTGGTCATAGGCTGTCCCTCCCTTTCTTGTGCAAGGCCTGCCCCCAAGTATGGCTCTACTTTCCTGGCCTCCTTGACTCAGATGAGTGACTCATACCACCTCACCATCTCCCCTACATCCCCCACAGACTGGATTAAGGGCCTTGTCACATTGTTTTGTTACCTCATATTTCCTCAGCATGTATTCAATAAATTTGCTGGATGAATGAATGAATGAATGAATGACTGTATGAATGAAATTATCAGGCATAGGAATTCGCTGATTCAAAGTGTGGAACCGGCCCCTGTGTGGGCCTCCTGCCTTCATAAAGAAACCCACAGTTCCCTTACCTGTGCTCACTTCAGTTCAGAATTCTCGTGGAAAATACCATGACAGGGTCACTGCAGATGACTTCTCCTCAGGCCCAAACAGTGTCTTGGAGGTGAGGATGCTCCCAGCAGGATGGTGCATGATGCTTTTTGCATTGGACCCCACATGTTCTGTCAGTTTAACAATGAAGGCTGCAATCTCCACAGGGTTTCCATCCAACTTGCCCATGTCCACACCTTTGGCCAGCCCTCTACCCCAGACAGTGTCTGGTGGCAACACGGGCCAGTGATTACGCCCCAAGACACCTGTCCCCTTGTGTGCCAAGAGCTCAGAAGACACAGGAGGCCATATGAGTCAGGGATACCAGCTGGATTATTTTCAAGGCATGTCCACACAAACCCTTCATCTGCAGAGTCTGAGCTGATTAGTCCCAGGGCACTCTTCCTCCAATTTCCCCTCCATGCAGCCCCACTACTACCTTCCACTGATCATTGGCATTCCTGGTGAGTCTCAGCTGTTGATCATCAGTCAGCAACCCACACACATAGCCCAACCTCTATGGAGGGTCCCCAGGGGATAATTCACCAGCCCCAGTAGGCATAAAGACAGGTCCCAGCCCTGGGATGCTGGCAAGGGTGCACAGGGCCACTGGAGTTGTCAAGAGAAGTAGCTCGCCCAGAATGATGCAGGGAGCCAGCCATATTCTTCCTGACAGAGGGAGGGGAATCTTGAAAGAGCATAAAGCATCCAGCATGCCGCTAATGCATTCAGCCAACAGTCCTGCCCATTAAGATCACAGAGCCACATCCTGTTGACAATGATGGTGTCCAGATTTCCCAAGTCTATCCCTGTTTGTTGCCCTGTCCTCCTTCGCCACTTCCCACTTCTCTCCCTCAGGTCTCTGCCCCCACGGGGCTGAAATCTGGATTCAGAGCTGAGTGGTAGCCTGCCTGGGGCTCTGTGGACTTGATTTCACATGTGGTCTCTCTCATGGACTCTGGTAATTGCTCTTCCCTGCATCCTCCTAACGCCCCTTGCCAGCCGAGGATGTCCTGTCTGCTCTCCTTCCCTGGCTCCTGACCAAATCCTTTGAAAGCAGAGGGGAAGTTGAACGGCCCTTTTAACGTAAATTTCTACATAAATTTGGCTTTGGGCACTGATATTTAGACATCTGGTATAAGAGAGATTTCCGGGAATGGGGCAGAACACTCAGAGTACTTCTGCAGGGTGTAGGCACGCTCCGTGTCACAGGGAGAACAGGCAATTCTGGGCTTCTCTACTGTGTTCTGGGCACAGCCTTTAGAAGAGACCACAGTGACAAGCTATGCAGCAGGCCAGGTTCCAGATTTTCACAGGAGGGAACACTGGGGACAACCAGGGAAAGGGTGCTGTAATGTGGGGAAGTGCTGGCTGTGAACAGAAGTGCCAGCTCCTGGGTAGAGTCAGCTCTCAAGGAACCCTGGGGATTGACACAGGAGGTCCCTGGATTAATAAGGTCCACAGGCCGCCCTGAAATGGTGTTTGATTCTCATTGTCACCTTCTCTAGGCCTACTACTGATACTTTGGACTCAGAGTTCCTATTTTTGTCACCTGAAAGATATAGTACATTGCTGTGAAGAGAAATGAAGTATTATTCAGGAGGTCGGCCTCAAGCTGGGAGGAGTGGGAACAGCATGGGCTCTACACAAATTCAGACCAGCAGTCTGGTTTCAGCCCTGTTACTTACTAGCCATGTGATTCTGGGAAATGCCCAAGCCCTGTGAGCCTTGGGTTCTTTATCTGTGAAGCAGGTGTGATAAGCCCTGTCCAATAGGACTACTGGAGTATGAGCAATATAAGTGAAGCACCTGGCTTAGGGCCTGGCATATTTAGAAGTTTAATGAATGGCAGATGGCTGTTATTTCTAATATTATTTGACCTCAAATCCCACCACAGTCTACTCAGCATTTTTTGTTGTCATTATTATCCAGTACATCTCAGAATATGCAGCTCAATGGGACATGGAATCCCAAATCAGTCACAAATGTTGCTTCATAAATAAAACTCTGTAAATTTTCCCTCTTAAGAGGATGTATTTTCAAAATTTCATGTGCAGGAGTTTCTCCCTGCTGGATGCTGCTCAAAGCTCATGGAATATGAGTCAAGTATCAACTCCTTCCCTCTCTCCAAGGTTCTTTTCCATCCAAATCATGATTTTCATTCATTTCGCCACCAAATTCTAGCCCTTGCTTAGTGTTGTACAAATTACATAAAAAATGACCCAATTAAAATGTTTCTCTAATGGAGTCAGCTAACTTCTAGGCATCAATTCATAGGCTTATTTATTATGAGATCCTTATCTCTCAGGAGACCCTTGCATAAGATGAGCATCTATCACCTAGTTATTGTGCTATGTTCAACTGCACTGAGACAAGAGTGCAGAACACCTTCCATTCCTGCCCCAGGTGGACTCTTCTCTGTTCATCCAGCACCCAAAAGGAACTGCTCAGAGCAGTTTTACATCCCAGGATTTTCTCTCTCAACTATGTGAGGCTCTGACCCTGGCACCACCCAGCTTCTTTGGATTCATCTTCACCAGAAGGAACTGCAGTTTCTCAAAGCCCCAAAAGTCCTGGCTCAGGAGATGTACGTGACCACTGTCACTTACATCCCAATATCCTCATCCCTGTCTTACTTTTCCTCTAGGTCTTAGAGGATATCTCACCACCTTATTACTCGACTGCAGCCCCTAGACTCTACCACCCTATGGGTAAAGGTGGTTCTGACTTAACATTTCCACTACAGACCCAGGGCCTTCCAAAGACCAGATGCTCAGTGGATGTTTGGGGAAAAAAATGTACCAGTGAGCAAAGGTTTCATTTATTACAGTTTAATTTCGACTTAACAAAGATCCAGGGATATAACTTCTAACTTTGCAGGACGATAAAATAAAAATAATAAACACAAATACTAACACTTAAAATTATTTTCTCTATTTTACTATTTTTTTATATGTCCAAGAAAATTACTATTCTAGTTCCATGTTATTTTATTACAGATTACAAATAAGATCGAAGGGTTCCCAATTTGTTTTACAGAATAGCAAAACTCTTTCTTAAACTGGATAAACAGAAAGAAATGTGTGACCTTAGATTCTGAAGCTCATAAACTCTCTAGTAAAAGTAACAACATTTTAAAATACCAAGAAGAGGCTGGGTGCAGTGGCTTACATCTGTTATCCCAGCATTTTGGGAGGCTGAGGCGGACGAATTACCTGAGGTCAGGAGTTCGAGACCAGCCTGGCCAACATGGTGAAACCTCATCTCTACTAAAAAATACAAAAAGTAGCCAGGTATGGTGGCACGCACCTGTAATCCCAGCTACTCAGGAGACTGAGGCAGGAGAATCGCTTGAACCCAGGACCCAGGAGGCGGAAGTTGCAGTGAGCTTAGACTGCCACGGCACTCCTGCCGGGGCAATAGAGTGAGACTCTGTTAAAAAAAGAAAAAAAAAAAAAAAAAGAAAAGAAAAGAAAAAAAAGAAGAAGGAGAAGGAGAGAGAAGAGAGAAGAGAAGAGAAGAGAGAAGGAGGAAGAGGAAGCGGAAGAAGAAGAAATACCAAGAAGAAAAGAAAAGAAGTTCTCAAGTTATCCAAAGAGAACAGTAAGACAAAGATGTTATGCACTGTATTTTCCTCAGCCTCAGCCTGGCCCTCCACTACATACTTCATTGATTTCTCTTGTCATTTGTTTTCGTAAATTAAAAAAAAAAAAAAAACTGACATGCAATTGTAGATATTTATGAGGTAAAATTTGATGTTCTGATTCATGTATATGTAGTATAATGATCAAATCAGGTAGTGTATCCATCACCTCATGCGTTTATCACTTCTTTGTGGTGACAATATTGAAAAGCCTTCCTTTTAGCTGTTTTGTAATATACAATATCTTAATGTTAACTATAGTCATCCTACTGCACAACAGAACACTAGAATTTATTCCTCCTGTTTAAATGTAATTTTCCATGTTGGCTAACTGCTTCCAAGCCCCTCTTCTCCTTCCTCTCCCCAATCTCTGGTAACTACTGTTCTACTCTCTACTTCCATGATATCAACTTTTTTTTTTTTTATTCCACATATGAGTGAGATCATGTGGTATTTGACGTGCCTTTTAAAACACAGTGAAGAATCTGTCTTACTTTATTCAGGGTAGGAGAAGCTGCCTGTAGTACTAGAACTTGCACTGGCCATGGCAGTAGTATCATCTGTGGTGGCAATTCTAGCCTGGGCTCTCTCTTCCTCATCTTTCAAAGCCTCCTCATACCACAGTGGGAAGGATCTGGGATCACTCCCATTTACCTTGGCCAAAAATTTCAGGAGACTCATCTTCCTAATTTCAGCATGGGCCCTTGGACCCCACAGGAACTCATACCGTGCAGGATCACTGCCAGGCACCTGCCGGTATTCCAGGTAGTTTTCCTGCACCCAATCTTGGGTGAGCAGCTTCCTGGGCTCCCCATAAATGAAGTGCTCCATCCCATCATACAGTCCCATCATATTCAGTGCTTCCCAGATGACCTCCTCAGGGGTGCAGTAGCCCTCTATGAAGATTATGCTTAGGATAAGTATGAGAATGCCAGTCTTGGGCATGCTCTGGACATCACTCAGCATCCCATCATAGGTGAGGCCCAGGGAGGTGACAAGGACAAAGGAGTCGCCAGTGGGGTCCAATTCCTTTACATCAATGCCAAAGACCAGCAGCATGCACTCGGAGGCTTCACTGAACATCACGGGGAAATGTTCTTCATAATTTTTTATGACACTCTCCAGTATTTCTGCCTTTGTGATCGGCTCCTTCGTTTGATACTTGAAGAGCAGGAACTCCACCAAATCAGTCACCTTTTCATCTATCTCACTTCTGGGTAAAGACTCATTGTCTGGCAGGGCCTGTAGGGTGCTTGGACTCTCCTCCTTTTGGCTGCCAAAGCCCTCATCAGATTGGTCTAATGGAAGGGAGGCAATGACTGAGGGAGAGGAGCAGGCTACCTGAGCACTCTGGGGAGGATTTGGTGTCCCTTCATCAGCAGAAACCTCTTCTGGGGTGCTTGGTATTAGAGGATAGCAAGAGGAGGAGGAGGAGGAAGAGGAGGAGGAGGGAAAAGAGGATGGAAAAGAGGAGCTGGTGGAAGTGGATGATGAAGCATCCTCCTCCACAGCTGGGGGAGCCTGTGCACCCTCGAGGCCCTGTGTCTCACTTTGGGATTGAAGGTCTTCTTCAGGCATGCAGCGCTGACGCTTTGGAGCTCGAGGCATGATGACTCGGATCAGGGTAGCAGGTGGGAGAGTGGGCAGAAGTTGGGCGATGGGGACCCACAGGCCTGGGGAGAGAGGGAGGGTGTAAGTGGCCACAGCTGAGAACCACACTCTGGAGGTTCTAACAAAGGCCAACTTAGAGATCTTCTCTTTCAGTGCTGCTCTGTGGTGTCCCACAGCTCTTGACCTCTTGGTCTCTCTGTCCCCTGATAACCTGAGGAAGGAAGTGAGAGATGGCTCCCTCAGGATGCAGCCAGCAGAGGCCAAGGCTCCAGGACTGACAGTAGGGTAGCTGGAGCTGATGCAGTGGGGTCCACTTTGTCCTGGAGCAGGTGGGACCCTTGGTACACATTCAGGGCATGCACCTCACCTTGATTCCTGGCACTCTCTGGGCCCTCTCTGCTCTGTGACCTGAAAACACCGCCTTAGACCAAGGCCTCACCTCACAGTCTCTGGAGCTCCTGGAAGAGGAACTGAGGGACCCTCAGAGTTCAGGCTGCAAACACAGCCCCAGCCTCCCAGTGTTGTCAGGAGGGTGGGCTGGACTCTGTGAGTTCCGCACTACTCTGGGGTGGGTAGTCCCCTCTGTGCTCACACAGGGGCTCTCATCTTTCTCCTGGAGAAGCCTGGACCCTGCCCCTTTGCTGATCTAAGAAACTCTCAGATCAAAAGTTTACATCCTAATACAAAATAGAAGACACGAGGGGACCCACATCTGGTCACAATTGCGGAGGTCCTCCCAGAAAAGACAGCAAAAGGTGGCCATATTCAGCTGGGTCCATGTTAGGGGTTAGGGGCCTGCTTGGTCTTCATCTTGATGCTTGATAGGACCTGGGACCCTCCCTTTGTTGACCTGAGGCCACTTCCTTAAACCAAGGCCCTATCTCCAGGAGACATGGAAAGAGGAAGTGAGGGGAGTCCATCTACCCACAGTTCCCTGTGAATTCCCGTGGCTGACGGAGGGGCAGGGTGGGGCTGAGTCCTGTGCGTTTGGAGAATGGTGTCCCCTCAGTACTCACCTTGACTCCTGGCAGGGTCTGGGACCCTCCCTCTGCTGACCCAAGTGCAGCTCCCTTAGACCAACACCTCCCCCTCCCAGAGACCAGTGATCCTTGTATAAGACAGGGTGCCTCAGCAGACTGCCCTGACTAGGTTCTCCAGAGTGACAGTAGGGTCATGGCAGATTTCTGTGGGGCCCCTATCTGTGTTATGGGCTGGGGATACCCTCAAATTTCCCTCAGGTTCCTTACCTGGACTCTTGTCAGATCCTGCGACTCACTGTGTCTGTAGAAAAGAGGGGTTGTCAGATCCTGCGACTCACTGTGTCTGTAGAAAAGAGGGGCTCCCTGTGTTGACTTCAGTCACCCTCTGAGAGCAAGGTTCTCATCTCCCTGAGATTCCAAAACAAAAATAAGAAGGAGCCACATCCTGTCACCCCTGTGGGGTGTCCAGGGCTGATATCTCCCCTTTACACCAAGACTCCATTTCCCTGAGGGTTCCTCAACTTCCTGCCTGTGGCAAAATTGAGCTTGCCACTTAGTGTCAATCCTGATCAGGTCCCCTCAGAGCTAAGAATAGGGGACAGCCAGACTCTGTGGCATCCCTTCTTTCTGGGCTGCAGGTACCTCCAGTCCTCACTAAGGGGCACACCTTGGGTCCTGCAGATTCTGGAACTCCTCCTTCTGTTGACCAAGTGTGGAACCTTGTGATAACTTCTCAGCAACCCTCAGACCAAGGTCCTCATCACCCTGAGATCCGGGAGGCAGAAATGGAGGAGGGGCACCACACGTTCACACCTGCATGGGATTCCCAAAGCTGACAAAGGAGGAGATTTGGCGGGGGGGGAGGGGGAGGGGAGGGGGACGGGATGGGGACTTCCTTTATTTGGGTGTCCTCCCAAATAAATTCAGATTTACTCCCGACAGGGCCCAGCCCTTTCCCTCCTGCTGAACCGTGTATGAGTCTTGTACGCCAAGGCTACCATCTCCCTGGGATCCCCGGTGAGAAAGTGGGGGCCACTTCCCTTCCTCAGAGTCCTGCCTGAGGTTCCAGAGCTGATAGGAGGGACAGATTTCCTAGTTCTGAGATGCGGGGATCTGCTGAGTCCTCCCTCAGGGCTCTGGGACTCCTCCCTCTGATGACCTGAGGCTTCATTCCTCAGACTGTAGCCCTCTCCTCATTGACACCCCAAAGGCACAGCAAAGACAGATCACATGGGCCACCGTGCCTGAAACCGCCCAGGGCTGAGGTCCCCACTGATCTGGACTCCAAGGTCCCTTGAGTCCTCTCTCTTCTTCCTCCCCTTGGCTCTTGGCAGGGTTGCTCTCCTCTACCCCGCCCCCCCGCCGCTGACCTGAGTCACCGTCCCTTGGATTCCTGAGGCCAAGTGAGGAGGCATCTCAGTCTGAGACAGGGGTGGGGTGGGCACCCTGTCCTGGGATCCCTTCATGACTCCCTCATTTCCCAGCAGGGTCTGGGCCCACCCTCTGCTCCCCTGAAGCCACATTCTTGGTACCAATATCCCTTTCCCTCTGTCAGCCCCAGATACTGACGTCAGAATTTGCATTCCTGGTCGCCATGACCGGGGCTTCCCAGGGCTGATATCAGGGGCAGAGCCCTCTCTAAGCGTCCTGACTTTGATGCTGGCAGAACCTAGGGGTGGCTCCCAGCCCTGCCCTGGTCACACCAAGCTCTGACTCCCAGAGTCCCCTGCGGCTTAAGCGGCGAGAGAGAGTGGGGGCGGGGGTGGGGAGTGACAACCCAGCCTGAGAAGTCTGCCCTCAGGTGGTCCAGAGCTGGCAGCAGAGGCGGCGCTGAATTATTTAGGGCTTTCTATCTGGGTTGGGGGCGTCCTCAGTCCTCCCTCAGCGTCTCACCTTGCCTCCTCACAGAGCCCGGGCCCGCTCTCTTCAGCCGATCTCAAGCCTGTCCCTCAGAACGAGAACCTCGCTTCTCTCTGATCCCTGAGGCGTAAGTTAGTGGCGTCACATCCGGCCCCCGGGGCTTCCCTGGGTTGACAGCAGGGGCGGAGTGGATTCTGCCGGAGTTGGGGTGGGAGTGGGGGTGGGAGTCCGGGTGGGGTGGAGAGGGGGTGATAATGGGGTTGGGGCAGGGTTGGTGGTGAAGATGAGTGTGGGGAGGGGCGTGGAGGTGGGGACTGGGATGGGGATCGTGGGACTGTGGGTCGTGGTGGGGGTGTGGATGGGGTCTTTCAGTCTCGACTTTGGTGCCTGGAAAAGCCTGGACCCCTGTTTTGTGCTGAGGATGTCTGCCCCCCTTACACCATGTCTCTTGACTCGGAGTCTTCCTAGGTGACAGTGAGGGGAGGGTTGTGTTCGGGGTGACAGTATTGCCAGGGTCTTCCAGGGCTGACAGGAGAGGCTTGCTGGATTCTGTGGCCCCTTTGTGTGGGGTAGGTGGACCCTGGGTCCTCACTCAGGAGGGTCTTCCTTCTGGCTCTTGTCTCTTTGATGAAGTGATGGATGGGAGACGCTCTGTTTCTGTCACCTCTGATCATTTGCCCAGCTGCACCCCTTGCAAAGCATGGGTGGGGGTCCCAGGCCAGATGGTCACTGGGGAGCTGCAACACCCGTGATTGTAATGACCTCTGGGAGAAGACACACACCTTCCTAAGGGGGCTCTTCCCAAGCCAGAAGTAGACTTGGCAAACATTTTGTCCTAAAGGGTGTATTTTCTACAAGAAAGAGGCTGAGCATGGAGGTGTGGGGAGGTCCTGCTGTTTTGAGTTTAGCTGACATTTTATAGTCCAATGCAGTGATGTCTGGTTTTTTAACCCTCATTCCTAGTAAAAATATATATTTTAAATATCTGCCAAGTGTATTTATATATATATATATGTGTATATATACACATATATATATAAATTTACATATATATAAAAAACATTTCATGAAAGAACACCTACCTTATTCTGTGTGGTTCACTGTTTATTCTATTTCTAGTCCATTCTTTATATTCCAATAATTTCTCAAAAAGACCAGTCGTCACTAAGGTTGCTTCAGGTGGTTAGCAGAACAGACTCCAGAGTCATATTCCCTCAATCAACCCCATCTTTCCTGCTGTCCTGGTATCACTCCAGAGCTACGGCATCGTGGTGTGAAGTGCTGCCTCAGATTGTGCAATAAAGCAGGGCCAGAAGTTCAAATATATCCTCCTATTCATCCTCTTATTTGCCGTCTATGCAGGCTACAGACCTCTTCAAATGCACTGTTGTCCTCCCCTCCCCCTACTCCAAACACAAGGTCCAGTTCAACATTCTGCAGTCTCCTTAGGATTCTATCATGTTTTGCTGTGTAGAATTTGTTGAGTGTTGATAATGGTTTTTCCCTTCTCCCCTCCAGGATTGATTCTGGAGTGTAAGTCAGCAATATGAACTTAATGCTCATTTTGGACTAAAGGTAAGGCACTAATTCTGTAAATAATTTAAGGAAAATTCACACCTTTAAAATATTCTGTTCTCCATTAATAGATATGGTATAATGCTTTATTTATTTGGGACTTCTTCCACCTGAATCTATCAGCAAACTTTTACAGTTGCCTCCATTAAGATCCTGCTCATGTTTGTTAGGATTATTTTTAAGGTAATTTTAGGAGATTTTTGCTGTTTTTAATGGGATATTTTCTACTGTATGTTCTATTTATTTACTATTTTTGTATGACCAGTGTCTTGATTTTGCTATAATAAGCTTCCATAAAACATTTTTCTTCTGAAGTCTTTTATTCATTTAAATATTTCACATGCCTATTCCTTTGAATATTCTTAAAAGATAACATTGCCTCCAAATATCTCTTTTCAAAATTCATGTATCTTATTTATTTTGATACTCATAGCTCTGGCTATGTGTTTCAGTGCAGTTTTGAACAATAGAGAAGATAGCGTACATTTTTGTCTTGTTCCTGGCTTTCAGGGAAATTTTTGTAACATTTCGCATTTAAGTGCGTTTGCTATAGATTTTAAATAACGCAAGTTCTATTCTAGTGTTAGTTTACTTTTTTCTTTACTTTTTTTTTTTTAACCATTATCTTGTGTTAAACTTCTTTGAAATGCTTTTTATGTAGCCATTGACATAATCAAGTGTTTTTTCTCCTCTAATTTGTTTACGGGGAATTACCATTAAAAGCATTTTCTAATGTTAAATCATAATTTTTATTCCTTGGACAGAGCTTGTTTGTTCAGTTAATATACTGCTATGTTGAATATGCTATTAAATTATTTAGAATATTTGCTGCTATGTGAGAGAGCTTGGCTCAAGCATTCTTTTCACTGGTTGTTCTCATCTGGTATTTGAATCAAAGAGTGCTGGCCTGGCAAAACGATTTGAATAATTACCTATCTTTTTGTATGCTTTGGAAGAGTTTACATAAGATGGTAATTTGTTTCTCCATGATCATTTGGTATAACTGGCCTCCCAAACTGCCTTATTCTGGAACATTTGGCAGTGGCTTGAGTTTTGAATACTGTACAGTTTCAGTTTGTATTGTTTGATTAAACCTGTAAGTGATCAATTTCACTTAGGATTTCAAATTTAATGGCATGATATTTACAATAAAAAGCTTTTACTATAGATATTCTCAAAATACACAACATTAAAGAGAATAGTATAATGAACCAATGTGCCAGACTCTTAGCATCAACAATTTTCAATACATTGTCCAATCTGGTTCTAATTTTACTCTTACCTACTTCCATCTCTTGCTACTGTAATGATTTGAGGCATATCCCAGACGTTGTGTCATTTTGTTTCTAATTATTTCATATGCTTTTATAAAAGATAAGAACTCTTTTGTGAAACATTAATCCAGTGTAAATGTATTTCCTAACAATTTAAATGAGTAATCATCAAATGCCCAGATAATGTCCATATTTACCTAGCAGACACATACTTTAAAAATTAGTTTCTTTGAATCAGTGTTCAAATATGATCTAATCATTGTAATTGTTGAATATGTCGCTTAGTCCTTTTTAATCTATAATTTCTCCAACTATTAATCTTTTTTCCTTGCATCTTAAAACAAGACAAAACAAACAAAAAAAAGAGAAATAAACAGGTCTTGTGTTTTGTCTAGTTTCCCGTAGTATGGATTTTGCTGAATGCAGCACTTGTGATGTCCCTTAAGAAGTTTTTCAGACCTTACTTTCTGACACTACGAAATGCTCCAGGCTCATTTTATATACAGTGTTCCCTCAGTATCCCTGGGGGATTGGTTTCAGGAACTTCCAAAGTATCAGAACATCTCATGTACCCCATAAAAATATACACTTACTTTGTATTCAAAAAACT